ATCTTCACCTCCGGACTATTCCGGAACTCCTCGTGACGTCCGGGGTCTTATCCGGGACTCCGAACAACATTCGGTAATCACATACAAGTCTTCCTAATAACCCTAGCGTCATCGAACCTTAAGTGTGTAGACCCTACGGGTTCGGGAATCATGCAGACATGACTGAGACGACTCTCCGGCCAATAACCAACAGCGGAATCTGGATACCCTTGTTGGCTCCCACATGTTCCACGATGATCTCATCGGATGAATCACGATGTCAAGGATTCAAGTAATCCCGTATACAATTCCCTTTGTCTATCGGTATGATACTTGCCCGAGATTCGATCGTCGGTATCCCGATACCTCGTTCAATCTCGTTACCGGCAAGTCTCTTTACTCGTACTGTAATGCATGATCTCGTGATCAACCACTTGGTCACATTGAGCTCATTATGATGATGCATCACCGAGTGGGCCCAGAGATACCTCTCCGTCATACGGAGTGACAAATCCCAGTCTCGATTCGTGCCAACCCAACAGACACTTTCAGAGATACCTGTAGTGCACCTTTATAGCCACCCAGTTACATTGTGACGTTTGGCACACCCAAAGCACTTCTACGGTATCCGGCAGTTGCACAATCTCATGGTCTAAGGAAATGACACTTGACATTAGAAAAGCTCTAGCAGACGAACTACACGATCTTGTGCTATGCTTAGGATTGGGTCTTGTCCATCACATCATTCTCCTAATGATGTGATCCCGTTATCAATGACATCCAATGTCCATAGTCAGGAAATCATGACCACCTGTTGATCAACGAGTTGGTCAACTAGAGGCTCACTAGGGACATGTTGTGGTCTATGTATTCACACATGTATTACGATTTCCGGATAACACAATTATAGCGTGAATAATAGACAATTATCATGAATGAGGAAATATAATAATAATCATTTTATTATTGCCACTAGGGCATATTTCCAACAGCAATACCGTTCTCCACGGCACTCCGGGCAGCCTCAACCTCCTTTGGCAGCACTATACGGAGCTCTTGCTCGAACATGGCAAGTTTAGCAAACACTGATGTCTCCACATCGCGCTCGGCCTCACAATTGGCCAAGGCATTCTCGACGATGTTTGCACGCATATTCTGCATTAATGGGTAGTTGGCGCTGCAAGGGTCATCTGCATACGCGAAGACCGCCTCACGATCGACTGTGAGCAGCAAGTCCTTCTCGCAAAAGCACGCATTGTGGAGATGACCATTGTTGTTGGTGACCAGTGTCTTCCTAGCCACCATCTTCACACAACTCTTGACAACATTCTTGACATTCTCCTCGAGGTGGCGGAGGTCTATAGCCTGACACAATGCAACCAAGAATGTCGAGGACATGAGCTTCAATATCTCAATGGCCTCGGCAGTCTTCCTGGAGGAGATGAGACCGAGAGAGTTGACACCTTGGTTGTGTTGCTTTGCGCTCTGGACATGGTTGGTCACAGGGTTTCCCAAGAATTGGAGCTCGGAGCAGTATGAGGCCATCGCAATCTCGGCACCCTTGAAGCCATAGTCCAAGCTTAGGTTACGCCCGCCGGAGAGGTTGGAAGGCAAACCATTGTTGTAGAAGTCGTTCACTAGCTCTGAGAACTGGGCAAACATGAGCTTGCCTATTGCGGCAATGGAAAACCCGGTGTTGTCCATGGACACACTGATGGGTGTGCCCTGGAAGTTTCCACCATGGATAGCCTTGCCACGAGAGACATCGATGAGTGGGTTGTTGTGGACAGAGTTGATCTCCCGCTCAATCGACTTGGTGGCAGCACGAATGACCTCAATCTGAGGACCAAGCCACTGCGGTGATGTGCGGAGTACATACCTATCTTGCTTGGGCTTCATCAGTGTTTCAAGCTCGTCGAGCTTCTTCCTGAGCATCATGTAGGAGCTGCCTTCAAGAATGTGCTCCATGATGGCGGCGGCCTTGATCTGTCCGGGGTGGTGCTTCATCTTGTGGGTCAAGCGGTCTGTGTACTCTGGGTTGCCGTTCATGACCTCACAGAAGACGGCTGACAGGACCTCGACAAGGAGACCAAAGATGTTAGCCTCGAAAAGCACCATGGACGCAAGCCCTGAGCCCACCGCCGTGTTGTTCATCATTGCAAGGCCTTCCTTGGGCTGCAGCTCGAAGAAGCCATGTTGGATGCCGGCGATCTTAAATGCCTTCGCGGCATTAACCTTGGTGCCATCCAGAGCTGTGGCCATGCAGTTTGGGCGGCCGGTTACCAGGCCCGCAATATAGGAAAGCGGGACGAGGTCACCGGACACGGTGAGGGTGCCCCGGAGAGGTAGGCATGCATGGTGTCATGTTGGTGTTGAGACGAAATGTGATGATTGTCTCGAGGATCTGGAAGCGCATGCCAGAATATCCCTGGAGCAAGGTATTGGCACGGACGAGCATCGCCGCTCTCGTCGCCGCAGCAGGCAAAACATGGCCGTCTTTGCCGGTGCCGAAGGCTCCCGCATTAAAGCATCTTAACAGCAAGGAATACATGCACAATTTTAGAAGAAAAAATAAGGCTTCCATAACTCACAAACAGAGACGATGAAGAAGTGAAATATAGTTCGTCTTTTCTGGGTTAGTTTGTACCTGACGAGCTCCCTCTGGAGAGCGCTGACCTCCTTGGTCGTCCGGTGAGAGGTGGTGTCACCGTAGTAGCTGTTGGTGCCGTTGGTCATGCTGTTCATGACCCAGTCGCCTTGACGCGGCCGCGGGCGGAGTCGTTGAGCTCCACCGTGGTCACGGCGCCGGCAGCCACCGCAGCGACCATGGCGACGGTCAGGCTGGCGCCCTCCATGGTCACCACGGGCCTACGGTACTCCTCAACCATGCGCTTAACCGCATCCAAATGGCTCCCCGAGAGCTCCTCCGCCGCCTTCCCCCAGTTGAGTGGGTCAGCCCACGCTGGCTGCGCCACGCACAAGTTGGCGGCGACATGCCCGTTCTCGCACTCCATGGAGATATGAAAAAGAAGTGCTGGAGTGAAATTAAAGAAGGACTTGTGATGGAGAGGTGATCTAGTTGGAGGGAAATGGAGGGAAGGGACGGGTTAAGTAGGCAGCGCGGCAGCTGAGTAGGTAGGTGCGGGAGTGAGGATTATTATTATATTATTGTTATTATTTGACCAAAAAAGGGTTCAGTATTAATCGGCCCCGCTGCGTACATATGTATTGTTTTAATATTTTTTCTGCGTGCATATGTATTAACTACCATGCATTTTATGTGAAGAGTTGTTGAGCTCACCCATGGAATGAGATGTACATTCTATGTGGACCTGTTGCTGATTGCTCAAGACGGCGTCACCTAATTGATACGAGAAACGCTGAATTACGGGTTATGAGCGTGCAAACTATACTAATTAGATGATGCCCTACACGTTGCTGCGGGAACCTTAATAAAACAAATGCATAAATAGATTTTATAAAACTAAAACTATTGCAAATTTTTTGAAGATTGCTCTCGGTTTATATTTAAAAAAAATAAAGCATGTGATAAAATGTTGTATAAAAAGAGAAAAATGCTGGATTGAAGTCAACGGGGTCCGTCCATAAAAGTGTAATGAGACAAGCCAACAATTCAGCGCACCTATGTGCAAAGCGTGCAAGCACACTGGGAGTGACTGATTGCTGGATGAACTCCCCTCCCAGTTTCCTCGTGACGAGCCTGCTGGCTGATCGCACTGGAGCTGGAAATATTGAATAAAGCTTTATGATTCCCGCAAAAAAGAAGTGTATAAGATGACCTACATATATTTGCTCCAAGTCATCGCGTCTATGCCCACACAAAAATTAGTGAAACAAATTGACTTGCATGATTGTTGAGGTGGCACAATTGCATGGTTAGATTAGTGCATAAATTGTAACTTATGACCACATGCATGACTTCATGATGTGGCATAGTTGCATGAAGAGAGAAAAATAAGTAATGGGTTACAACTATTTAAGAATAAAGAATGCATCTCCCCCGCAAAAATAAAAGAATAAAGGATGCATCCAGCGCATCCCTGTCAAGCCTCACACCGGTCATGTGTGTTTTTATTTGGACCCCAATATCCACCTGACTTCGATCTGGGCAGGTCCTAGAATGAACAAATCGTTCCCCATGGAAAGATCTACCTGTTTACGTATGATCTAGTAGGAGAGTGGAGTGGAACGAACAGTTAAGATGTCTATATTTGTAACATTTCTAGTATTTTTACCGTGTTGCTTCAATTTTGAAAAATAATTTAATTTGCAATTCAAATTATTATAAGAAGCAGGAGTTCATATATAGTAAAATACATTAAAAATTTTGGATCAATTTACGGTTATCCACAATCCGTCCCTTTATTTTTTACTCCTCAAAATTTTACGTATAGTTGCGCATTTCTGTGCCAATACAATATTTGGATCAGAATTTGTTATATGATATTTTTACAAGTTGAAACATAGTTGTCCTCAAACGACTGCATAACTTGACACATTTGTTAGTTGGAGAATATTTCTCTATATTGATCAAGTGTTACAGGGTACATCTTTATATACACCGGGGCTCAGCCCGAGTCATTAGGCACGCAGGCCCTTGATCCTAATTACATGGGCATGCATACAAGGCCCGTTACAACACAACTCAACACCCCCCCCCCCCTCAGCCGGAACTCCATTTGCCTGGACGTTTAG